GCCGGGAACGCGCCCGGCGCGGCCCCCCCCTGGGCAGCCGCAGCAGAACGGCCCTTGGGCCAGCACGAGGCCCGACGCGGCGCTGATGGGCGCGAGGACGCGGAGATGCGGGCAGCGTGTCCGAGAGCGGTGAGAGCATCTGCCCGCGCGTGGAGCCGGGACACCCCTGATGTCCCTGCAATGCCAGGCCCAAGACACCGCGCTCAGCCTTTTTGCCACATGGGAAAGCACCCGGGCAAGACTTGACTCTGCTGTGCCGGGAAGGAGGACATCAGTGTCCCCAGAGTGCCCAGGCAGGTAAAGCCCTCGCTGCTGCCCGCGGGCGGGTGGAGGGCTGGCGCCTCCTGGCCTGGGCTGCCCTGGGGCTCCCGGGACATCGTGCTGCTCGGGGACACCGAGCGGCCGTGGCACCGTATGGACGTGCCCCATGTTCCTCCCTCCCGTGCCAGCCTGGCGCCGTGCCGCTCGCGCCGGAGGCAGGAGCCCTCGGCCACGGCTACGGAGCTCAAAGGTTGCCTGGAGCGCAACAGAGCACATACCAGGGAGGAGAATGATTCTCAGGCTCTCCAACGTATCCCGCGCCGGGTCCGTACGGCACGGGCAGCCTGGGACAGGGCCTCCCACTGCTTTCCCATGGCAGCTTCCTACCCGGCCACCAGCCCTGTCCGGGGACCCGCTGTGCTTATCTGCTTCCCCATGCACCTGCCCGGTTCTGTGCACGCCGGCTCTTCACACCCCTTGCAGCAGGCTGCTCTGCTCCTATTTCCACATTTCTGCCCTTGCAAGTGCCAGCCTCCAAGGCACGTCCCTTATCACAGCTATGTGCGGGGGGGACTTGCTTTCGGCCGCACCGAAGGCTCCGGCACCTCCTGGCCTCCCTGGAGACATTAGGGAGAAGCTGGCAGGGAAGGCAGTGGCCGTGTCCCTGGAGAAGTCCCAGTGGGAGCCAGCAAGGGACACACATGCTCTTCGTGCTGTTTGCAGAGGTTTCGCTCTGGGTTTCAAATGCTGTTTGTGACCTGCATGAGTCACTAAAACGCCCAGAGTCGTTATGGCTGGACAATGTGGATCAGCCAGGAAAAATCCAGGGCGCTGCTGTCACCTCCCAGCGCGGGGACGAGTCCCCTGAGGAGCTGTGAGAGCTGCTAGTTATCCAGGCTCCCTGTCCTCCATGGCTTGTTTATAAAGATGCAAACAGCAAGAGAGTGAAAGAAATTCACACCGAAAACCACCGGCTCCCAGCGTAAGCGCTTCCCCCCTTCACTGGGATGCGATGCGGGGGACGCCCGGAGCGAGGGGATGCCAGGCACCGCGGAGCGAGCGGAGACGGCGCCAGGCGGGAGGCGTAGCCAGCGTCACCCGAGGGTGCCGGCCAGGCCAGGCGGGGCAGGACG